AAATATTTAATAAAGTATATATAACTAACTTAATAAAGGATAAAAAAAAAAACAAGTTAATTACTGTATATCTTTTTTATTATCAGTGGTTTAGATAGTTGATGTAATGATTAAAAACAAAAAAGCTTCAGCTGCAAATTTGATAATCATGTATTCATAGTTTCCTTTTGTAAACTGTGATACCTGGCGATCTACACTATAAATAGCCAATCATATAAATAACAACTACTGTCCAAATTGACTTTGCTTTATTAAAAATAAAATGTATGGCAACGTCGGTCTTCCAACGCCCAGAGGCTCTGGAACTAACGGTTATGTAGTTCGTAATCTTTCGTACATCCGACAACGTAGGGATATAGTCCCATATGAATCTCTTGAAGAAAGCAAAGCCAAAAGTTCCTCTCTTTTAAACCGCCAGCCAAATCAGGAAATATTGAATCATGAAAAGAAAAGGAAAGTTGAGATTGAGTGCTTAACTTATAGGCAGCAACTTGAAGAAATGGGGTATGTGTTAACTTTGATCACGCTCATTGTACTTTGAATAACTATTAATGTGCTTTCTATAATATCTAGGAAATCCGAGGAAGAGATTGAAGAAAAAGTAAATAAACATCGTTTAAAACTATTATCATCTCTCAACACTATGAAAGATGATAAAAAGTAAGAATTTATTTTATCTAGTGATCTGGATGCATAGAAACAATCTAGAAATGATCCTTACTGGCACTTCTCATTTCACAGCATACAAGAACACCAGGTCCATCAACTTTCTCAAGCGAAGGCCACCGAAAATGAGAGAATGATGAGGGCACTAGGAATTAAACCACAAGAATATGTGGAAGGTGCAGCTTTCGATCGTGATTTACAAGAGCAAAATAAACGCGATCGGGCCGCAAAAAAAGCGATGGAAATTGAAAAGCGTCAAAAAAAAATTGAAGAAGATAAGATATTAGAGTTATCGAGGAAAAAGGGCGAAAAGAAGAACGACGATGTTCAAGAAAGGAATAAACCTTCTATTAAGAAGGATGAAAAAAATGATTATGGTAGAAATAATAAGGGTGACAACAGAAAGAATAGAAGGCGTGATTCTGAAAGCAGTAGTGAAAGTAGTAGCGATAGTAGTAGTTCTAGTAGTGCTGAAAGTGATGACAGTGATAGCGATGCAGTTCACCGTAGAAAGAATTACGA